TTTATTCCCCACAACCACAGTTACAATCTTCTGCTGTCTCTGATCTTCCAGAGCAAGGACTGTGAAGTTCTCTGACTGTGAGCTACAGTCCTGACAGAGTTCTTCACTCATTCTGCCTCTCTTAAAAAATGCTGCTCATTGCCCATGAGGTGAATTTCCTGACAGACCCGCAGGTGGCGACCCTCGGTTTGGGAAGCAGAGATGACAGCACGGGGCCAGTCATGAACACCCAAATGAACCCCAGGAAAATGGCGGAGTGACACTGAGAAATCTGGTCATCCACACATAGAAGAATGGATCTAGGCCCATGTCTCTCAAATGGAATTAAAACAAAACCAAGGTGGATCAAAGACCTAGATATAAAAACAGAAACCTGGAATCTACTGGAAGATAAAATAGGTAAAACTCTTGGAGACATAGGTATGGGCAAGGATTTTCAGAACAGAACCTCAATTCCATAGGAAGTAGCACCAAAAAAAAAACAAATTAAAAATCTGTGGAGCGAAGAAACAATAGAGTGAAGAGACAGCCTGCAGAATGGGGAAATTTTTTTGCCAGCTATTTCTTTTACAGCAGGCTAACATCTAGAATATATAAAGAGCTCAAAAAAAAAAAAAAAAAAAAAAAAGTTAGACCTCCCCTGCAAAATGACCCAATGGAAAAATGGGCAGTTGAAATGGATGAATAGACGCTTTAAAAGAGGAAGTACAAACGGCCAATAGATACATTAAAATTGTTTAGCATCTTTGACCATTAGAGAAATGCAGATCAAAATGACACTGAGATTCCATCTTCAGCAAGAATGGCCATCATCACACACTGAAACGAGACACAATGGTGGGGTTGTGCGTGTGGCAGGGCACTTTTCTACCTTCTTGGTGGGATTGTAAACTAGCACCCACTATGGAAATCAGCAACATACAGATTCCTCAAAAAACTAAAACTAGAAATTCCATTTGACCCAGCTTTGGGGTGTTTTCCTGAAAGAGTTAAGGATATCATATTACAGTGGTCCACGCAGACCCATGTTTATAGCGGCACAACTCATAACAGCTAAATCTTGGAAGCAGCCTGTATGTCCACCAACAGATGACTGGATAAAGAAAATGTGGTATCTACTTACATGCAATAGAATTCTTACTACTCATAAGGATAGATTTGAGTCATTTGTAGGACAACGATGCACCTTGAGATCATAATGTTAAGCGAAGGAAATTAGACACAGAACGTTCAGTATTGTATGCTTTCTCTTATCTGTAAACCCAAAATATAAATAAAGTACAAAATAAAAGATGATAGAAAACAGGGAGACAGACTTTGTAGAGATAGAAAGAGGGAAGGTAAAAAGGATGAGACACAGAATGTATATATAACAATTTCCCACAGTGAATGTACTTTTGATATATTGTAAATGTATACTAATAAAAAGCATTCATTATATTTATAAAGACAAAAATAGAAAATGGCAAAGCTGGCAATTCTCCTCAAGCGAGCTCCTTAGACATATTTTGAAGTAAAAGTGATCAAATCTGTAATACTAGAGTAGTGGCTTCGAAAAACTTGTTTTTTTTTGCACTGATTGTCAAAAATTTTTTTACATCAGTAAACCATATCTTATGCACACAACTTGAGTATATACATTTGTTTTTTAAAAAGTTTCACCTATCAGTGTACTGTGTGATGACATAAAAATACATCCCAACTATAAATTTTGCAATGGTGAGATAAGGATGAACGAGGCCATATTTTAAGTAGCTTGCTAATTGTGATGGTTTATTATCAGCAGATATATGAAGGCATGATGCACATAAAGGATAGGCCACGTTGGTGGTATCCACAGCAGCTATAAATCTGTTTTCCAGCTGTTTGGATAGTTTATGTTTTGTGACTGATGTCTTAGACTGGCTTAGACAGCCCCCGCTCTGTAGACCACGGTCCACCCAGGACTTTTCCTTCAACATTGTCCTTTCTTTCCTGACAAAACTAGAAAAGTTCCTTGAACACTTCCCTTTTCTACCTCTGTTCATCTGACATTGGGGGTGGGTAGGGAAGGTCACTTTTGACATCTCCTTCCCTGGTCCCCTCAGCCAGTATTACCATGTGCTGGGGGTTCTGCTGCTCAGAAGAAGTCAGCTCTTTGCTTATTCCCGTTGTTGCCACTCCATCTTGCTCCCTTTTTCCTCCCATTTCTCCTGCATCTTTCCCACACAATTCTCTCTGTCTGAGGTGTTCCTTGCTGACTCCTTCTCACCCGCCAAGCCCACTGTTGATAGAGGTCTCTGCTTCAGAGGAATCTTCTCTGACTTCTGCCCATGGCAACTTGTATGGTACCTTGGACTTTCTCCTTCATGGCTCTTACCACAATTTCATCTTTATAATTATTGTGTGTTTCATTTGTTTAAAGTGTAGATAGTTCTTTTGCACTTTAGGTAGTAATTTCCTTGAGACAGGGCCCAAGCTGCCCAGACTGTGTGTGTGTGTGTCCAGCACCCAGGTTATGCAGTCTCCATAAACATTTAATACGCACACAACCCTATATAGTGGTTATAGAGTCCCTCCTATTTTGCAGATAAGAACATTGAAAGACAGGTTAATTGGTGAATAAATGGGGGTGGTGTTGGTCTCACTCTCAGGTCTTTCAGGTGGCAGGGTGCACACTCTTTCCAGCAAGTCCAGACTCCTCCTTTAGAACCTGCTTGGGCCAAGGCCTGCTTTAAGGTTCCATCTTGCCCGCTGGAGCCAGGCCAGCCCTCTATGGCAATTCTGCTTCTCCTGAACCAGCGTGCTTTGTCCTTCTGATCTGGGGGAACACACTTAATCCGTATTGTTCTGAACAGCACCGCCAGCCCCACGGTCCACATCCCGAACCCGACCCACCTTGGATGGATTGTAAAAGCAAGAACCCACATTACTGCATCCCTGTTGTGAATCCTGCAGCCTTGCAGGGGACCTGAGCACACCTCCTAATGAGTGAATAGCTCTCGATTAGCTGTTGGTATTAGGATCTTGGCCAAGGCTTTTTCTGATTTCCAAGCCCCCTGACTCTGTGTGCACCAGCTCTGAAGCCAAGAGCAAGAAGACCACGCCTCAAATTCAGAGAAGTCTTAATTGCTCCAATTTGCACTTGCTGGCCCTCTTCCTGGTAGATCTTAGCATAACTTCAGCTGAGAGCCAAGAATTTAAGGGTCTTCAGTCCATGAGTAATTTCATGAGTTGCTGATGGCTAATTAGGGGTGATTACAGTTAAGAGGCTTTATTTTCTTAATACTCCCAGAAAGGGCTGGTGGTAACTGTTAAAATCTGGATTCTTTTTTTTCCCTGTGAATGGACCTGTCTGATTCTCGTGACTGTCTTTTTCATAAATCTTTGTAATTTATCTCTCCACCCTGAAGTCCTGGGAAGAGTGCAGAAAGCAACGATTTTAGGAAACTGCCTTTGTGAGAAGGGTCTCGGTACACCTTTCAGCCTGGCTTCATTATTTGTCTTCCCTGCAAGGAGAAGCTGGAGGGGTGGAGGCGGGACCTGCTCTCTCCTCAAGTTCCGTCACACTGCAGCCAAACCGCCCATTCCTGGCTTTCTGATGCTATTTATAGCTTGCCTTTGAAACCATTGGCTTGCTTGACGATGTTTAGAAACTCTGTTTAGTGATGGTATCTGAGTGAGGCACTATTTGCAGGCCAGGGGCTTTGCTTACCTACTTTTACTCTGATGCCATACTTTCAGTGTGCTTTACCTTTTCTCACACGTGTGCCGTTGGAGCTACCAATAACCGAGTACCACTTACTGCCAGCCACGGGCCCACATGTTGTATATGTTCCCTGATTTAATCTTCACAATGACTTTATAGTTGTTGTGTGTGTGGCATGAGTGTGTATGTGTGTGTGTGTGTGTGTGGTGCTGGGGATCAAACCCAGGGCCTTGTGTATGCTATGCAGCCTCCGTATCACTGAGCCATACCCAACCCTAAGCAGTTTTTAAAATATTTTATTAATTTATTGAGATAGCATTCGTATGCTGTACATTTCACCAATGTAGCATATACAGTGGTGCCTTGGTTCACGAACTTAATTCATCTCATGATTCTGGGGGAAAACGGCAGTGTTCATTCATGTTCCTTGTCCAATGTATTCCATCCGAAAATAGAAGCAAATTTTGCCAAACAGAAGCATTACCGAACAATTTGGTTCACAAACAAAAGCATTTGGCAAAATTTTGTTTTTGTTTGCAAACTCTGCATCGAGTGCCAAACATGACCGTGGCCATCTTTCCTGCACACACACGGATGTGGCCATCTTTTCCAGAATCGTGGAACAAAGTCACATTCGTGAAACGAGGTGCCACTGTAATTCAGAGCTTTTTGGTATATTCGCAGCGCTGTGAAAAGCATCACTGTTACTGTTAGATCATTTTTAGTCACTCCAGGAAGAAGTACTATACCTTTCCATTAACTCCTCCTTATCCTCAGCCCCTGGCAGCCACAAAAGCATCCACCTATTCTGGTTATTATAAATGGAATCCTATAAGGCCTGCCTGGTTGTGTCTGGCTTCTTTCTCGAAATATAATGTTTTCAGGTTTCATTCATGTTGTAGCACATGTTGTATGAGGACATCTTTTCTTTTCATTGTACCCACATGGCACCATTGGAGAAACCAAGGTACTGTACGAGCATACGCAATGACTTTCTGGGGTTAAGTAGTCTGGAATGGGGGGCTGGGTTTCCAGTGCTGCTGCACCTGATGCCAACTCCCCCATCAGCTCGGAGTCACAGGCGATCATCGTGAAAGTAACTTATTGAGCATTTTCTGCGGGTCAGGTGCTGGGCTGAAAGGCTGTCCTATAAACTGTCACCTCATGTTCATGCGTGACACCATAGCTGGCCAGTGGAATTTTTTGTTTCACTATCATTCATTTTGTGTTCACTTCCGGTTAGTCTGGCGGGACTCCAGCATATGCCTAAGCAAGTGATGCTAACAGTAACGATGTTTGTTTCTGTAGGAGTTGAACGCCACTGTCACCTGCAGGTCATTCCCAGCACCTCTGAGGAGCCCTTGCCCTAGCCTGGCCTCGCAGGATCATGGCTTCCCATTTTGTGAGCTTTCTCGGGTAAGTAAAGAGCTTCTTAAGAAGTCAGGGGGCGAGGGTGTAGCTTAGAGGTAAAGCACCTGTTTAGCCTGCATGAGGCCCTGGGTTTGAGCTCTAGTACAAAAACAGAAGAACATGAAACTCAAAGTTTGCATTTGACTGTGCGGTTTCTTACAGTGGGTTGGTTTTAAGGGTGTGCGTCTCACTGGTATCTTCATATCATATGTGCAGGTGGGCAGTTGTGTCCTGCTCAGAGGGCTCCCAGATCCAGGCTCTCTGTGCTGTGGGAAGAGGCCCACGTAGCTTGTGTTCTGTACCAGTCTCAGCTATTTTCTGGGAGGCCTTCACTAGACCTCAACCAAAAGTATATCTTTTTTAGTCTAAAACTAGGACTGGGTCACCGGGTATTGACCATGGTTTGTATGACAGATTTGAAGAACATTTTAAAATATTGCACAGTGGTTACCACCCCACTGATCTTGACGTAGTCCATCTGGGGTTACTAAAAGATGCTTTCTTGGGTCCCTTCTGCTCAGCACGGCTGTGAACATTAGAACTTGATCCTTATATCAAGTATGTGTGGTAAGTCCACCAAGTGTGGTCACTCCTGTTACGTAGGTCAGAAACTCAGTAGTGTCCCCTTACTTTACATATAGTCGGAATAATGGTTCTGGTCACTAGAACTATAATCCATGCTATATTTGCTTTCAAACTAAATTTTTTTTTTTTTTTTTTTTTTTTTTGCAGTGTTGGGGATTGAACACACAACCTCATGCATACTAGGCAAGCACTAAGCCGTGACCGCAACCCCCACCCCTCAAACTACTTATTTATTTATATGTTCAGGCTGGCTCTGAACTCACTATGTAGCCCAGGCTCTCCTCAAACTCAAGGGGAATCCTCCTGCCTCTTCCTCCTGAGTGTTAGGATTATGGCATGCACCACCACACCTGTCTCCCCTCAGACATTTTTAGAAGCTGAAAGGCTTTTAAAACTTCCTTGCTCAAAACGCTATAAAATCTCAATGTATAAAGTAAACCATGGTAGTATTTAATATAGATTTACTCTAAGTTCAAATGTAGAACATCTAAACACTATGAGGTCAATAAATCAGCTGTGATAAAAACCAAAGTTCAAAGCCAGGACTTCTGAATGATAGCTAAGACCTTTTCCTCAGCACCTTGTTTATTTGTACTTATTTTAGCTTAAGACTGATCTATACAGGAAAGAATTTGTAGTTGGTAGCAATTCTGTAATGAAATTCACCTTGCAATCAGTTTTAGAGAAATGAATTCACAACCTGCATGAAGGGAAGGAAGAAGCACTTGCTGTTTCAAAGTCGAATCATGAGGAATATCTTACAGTTTTTCCTCTCCGGGACTATCTGTTAGCCCCAGATGCCTACAACTCACAATAAAAAATAGAATGGCCGATGATCTGTCATTATGACTGTGCCACATATGATGGTCCAGCCAGGGCAAGCACATTCACCAAGGAGCTGCTTCTGGGCCTGTGACTGACATCTGGTTGAGTCTGTGCTGCAGTGTGTGCTTCAGTACATCATGGCTTATATACTTTTGCATGAGCGGACTTGTGCAGGCCTGAAATCCAAAATCCCACGGAGAACTACGAACACCTTCATCAGTACACAGTCACACACGTGTCAGATGTGGTCAGGGAGGTAGGGAAATCTTTATTCTGAGGCCTGTGTGATATGTGAGCATTGACAGAGCAGTCCAAGTTAATGTTTGGGAGTCTCTTCAGAGGTGAATATGTGGTGTCCAGGATGAAGGATCACGTGTGGATTTGTAAATCTTAGTCTTAAAAAGTTTAGAAGCTGTTTCAAAGCACAAAAAACACATCCAGTTTGTGGAAGCCCTGAAGAGCTGCTCGCTATAAAAGAACAGGACAGTGAGAAATGCAGTTGGGTCTCTGGGTCACTGCAGGACCACAGCATGTGACAGCCCCAGGACCCAAAGGGTACAAAGAAGTAGAGGTCATAGAGCTAGGTCAGGAAGACCAAGCATAGGCTGAAAGGTGGTGTAAAGCTGGCTGTCATCAAAAAGGCTCTTAAGAATACCTGAGAATCCTCCAACCATGTGGGCACCCAGGCTGCCCAGGAAGGGTGTTTCTTGGGAGAAGACCCTTCTGCAAAGTTTTCCTTGATGTCCTGGAACTGGAATGGATGCCTCCTTCAGGGCCTGAGCGTGGCATGTGGTGAGGGGGCACCTGGTGACACCTCCGAGTTGTGCCTTGTTTTAAAGAAATCACTGCAGACTAGGTGGGGTGGTGTAACAGAAAGCGGGAAGCAGTCTTGCTCCCCTTGCAGCAGAGCTCTGCAGTCTGGACGGCTCTCCAGTGACAGGGTCTTGCTAAGGGGGACTTCTGAATGGGGCTGCTCAGCAGCACGGTTCAGGGCTGGAGAAAGGAAATGCGGAGCACGGGTTATTCTATGCTAGATCTCCACTGGACATTTCCCTCAGATCGCCTCCTCCTTCGTAAGCCAAACACACAGGAAACCTTTCCCTTCTGTTTTTAGAACTGTGTAAATATATTTTAACCACAAACAAACAAACAAATCAAAAAAGCCCCAGAGTGTCTTTTCTTTAAATGCTTTGCAAAACGTTGAGGAGAGAGGCTGCAGTTGCTTTAAGAGTAAGGTCTTTGGCAAAACGGGGAGATGAGAAACACACACATACCAAGAGACTTCTAATGTTTACCAAAGCAACCAAATGCATAAAGATCAATTGGAAAAGCTACAGGCTTTCTCTACGTAAAGAGAAAGCAGGTTGCAATGAGAAGTTAGCTGCCAAGAAAATCCCTGAAAGGAAAAAACAAAAGACCATTTAAGAGGATTCGCAATTCTGATATGCAGAGATTTAGTCTAAAAAAATCTCTTCCTTGTTTCTGCCTAGCTACAGAGAACCAGAAATCCAGCTCTGCTCTCACTGAAAGAGGCAACGAAGCTCTGGGTTTTAACACAGCAGGATTACCTAATAAAAAGAATCCCAGTCAAACCCAGTAGCAGAAAAAGACACTACAATTTTAACTCTCCATGAGCTGGTTAGCAGGTTGTTGGATGTTGGATAAACTCAGGAAGTCAGAAAAACTCATGGAGACTAAAACCTGTTTAGACCAAAGAGTAGACCCAACCTTGATGAAGAAATGTTTGTCGTCTGTGACAAATTGGAAAGGAAATGGCACTAAATAATTCAGAGGTGTTTATATTTCTTAAAGACTTGCTCCAAGTCCTGCTTTTTTTTTTGCAGGCACAATTATGCCTTTATTTGTTTTCTCAGTGACTGACTGAAAGGAAACGCAATTTTCTCACTACAAACAGGGCAGTAGCGACAAGGGCTACCTAACCAGGCCAACCGGCAAGATCTCCGCAGACAGCTGCAAGGTTGGCCTCTCAGCATGCTTTGGTAGAGCTGACATAGTTTATGTTTCCAATGAAAACATGGAAGAAAACAAAACTATTAAATGCCAAAGAGGTGGTAAAAATGGCAGGCCATAAAACTGATTTGGCCATTTTTAGTTTCGAACAGTAGTTTTTGAAGAAATTCAGATGTAATTAGAGCGATTACAGAATGAGTTGGCAATTTTTATAGATCTTTGGAAGGAGAGTTCTGGATCATTTTAAGGGTTTTACAGTTGATGGCCTTAGGTCAAGTGTCTGGTTTTAGTCTCTGAGAACTTAAGGGTTTTTTTTTTCCTTTTCTTGATATATATTTCAGTAAAGTATTATTACTTTAATGCCTGTCAGCTATTCCACTTAGAAATATAACCAGACGGGAAGGAGGGAATAGGAATAGAGGGGCGACTGACTGAAAAAAAGACCTGGAAGACAGAAAGGAGGCAAGAGATGGGCTAAGGAAACGCACTTGTAGTGTGAGAGAGAAATGCAAAGTAGTGATGTCTGAGGCGTGATCAGTTAGCAGAAAAGGAACTTTCCCTAAGGGATAAAGAAATGCGTGGTAATTGGGAGGGTTCTGGGGTCAGTCAGTGTCCCTTTGCCAGTGATCAGGAAATGGGGAGAAAGGGGAGGAGGAGGAAATGGATGGAAGAAGGAGGAGGGAACTAGGGAGGAGGGGAGCAACAGTCCAGGGCTGGGTCACAAGGCGGAAATGCAGAGTATTAACAAGGAGGAGTTTGTGTAGCTGGCACCAAAAACACTACTCAGCTGATGCTTAATAAGTATTTGTTAAATACTGAATGAGTAAATTAATACCTTCTAAGTGAAAGAAATAAGGTCAAACATTTATCTTGCCTGATGGTTAACTGGTTAATTACAAAAGTAGGTTAAAGCATGGAAATCATACGAATGATACACACACACACACACACACACACACACACACACACACACACACACACCTTTAAGGGTTATTTTTCTAACTTAAAACACATGTGTATCCACTGGCCAATTGTTTGATGAACGGCCAAAGCCTTGTCTTTAAGCGCAAAGCCCGATTGTCTTTCTTGCACAAACCACACCCATAAGCACTGTCTGAGGTTTCCACTTGGGTTTCTTGAAAGCGGGGTGAGAACTAAGACATTTGCAAAGCAGTCTGGGCACAGAATGACTCTAGATTTTTATTATTTTTGCCTCTAATCATCGGCAGTTGTCTCATCCACACCTAATTTGCCAGCAGTTTTTCCCCTTTGGCTGCTTGCCTCTAGTGAATTTTTCTACAGCACTCAACTAACAAGTCCTCTTCCTTCCTGGGCAGGTTTGGCTGTGTATGTGAGTTAGTGTAGTATCTGAATATTTTGTGTAATTACAAAGCTTGGGCGACTCGATGAGAGTTACACAGGTACAGTGCCTGGGGGTTGTCCGTGAGGTCCTGGTGGGGGCCATCTGAATGGCGGGCTCAGAGCTAGGAGGAGATCACAGTTTTCTGGAGGATCGCCCTGGCAAACTCCTACCTATAAAATGATGGCAAGCATCCAGGTAGTATTGATTTTTCTTTATGCCTGGCACAGCCCTGTACCTGGATGCTGTCTTCATCACTCAGTAC